TTTCCTTCCCTCTTAGATGCTTCGCTGTAGTACTGGTAATTTACTCTCATCGGTTTATTCAGCAACCAAAGAGGTCACCTCCGCTTTTCCTTACACTCCGCGTCCCCCCCCGGGGACCTCGCAATAGTTAGTCTTCGAAGAAACATACTTCTGGCCGGAGCAGTTACTTATGCTGTACATGTCTCCAGTACTTTCGGGGCACGGTCTGAGGTGGGAGGGATCACTTAAGCCCAGGAGTTGGTACCCAGCCGGCAACATGGTGACAACCCCTGTCTCTCAACAAAATCGACACAAAATTAGCCTGGGCTGGCGGTGACGCCTGTAAGTCAGCTACTCGGGGAGGCTAACGCGGGAGGATCGCTGAGCCCCGGGCGAGGCGTTAAGGCTGCAGTGAACTGTGATCATACCACTGTACTTCAGCTGGTGACAGAGTGAGACACTGTCTCAAAAAAACCCCCCCTCTCCCCCCCCTCTCTCTCGTTGCCCTCCTCCCCACCGTGTCTCCCCATGGCCATTGACTTCTCTTCGTCTCCTTCTCATTTTTTTTTTTCTGCGTTCCTCTGCCCCAGCTCGGCGTCTTCGATCTCTCGCAGGCTCTCCTTCGTGTCTCCCTGTCCTGCTCAAGTCCAGTCGGTAATTTATTCTTCCGTTCGCCCCTCTTGGCTGGTCTGATCTCCTGACCACATGGATCTGCCCCACCTCAGCCCTCCCAAAGTGCTGGGATTACAGGCATGAGCCACTGTGCCCGGTTGCTTAATTTTTTATTAGTTACCTCAGATATTTTCAATTAAACCACGTTTCCAGAGTCCCCCAAACTCTGGTTTTGGATTGGATAATAGAAAGTTTTTGATATTTTCTTGTAAAAATTCCACAATGACCAGATATTAATCCCTTATGTTCAGTTCACCTGGAGCCAGATGATCCAGTCCCTGACTTTCCAAATTGAGGTTTTCACACTAAAACAAACTTGCCTGCTTCTATCTCCGGGGCTGTTTCAATGAGCCAGAGCGTCAGTGGTTCTTCAGTTTTGGTGGCTGCCCACATCCTGACCCCTGATACTTCTCCTTGTTAGCAAGACAGAGATGCCGTCACTGACCTGTGGGCATACGTTGCCAGATAGATCTACTCTCTGAAACTAACCCTTCTGGTGGGCTGGTGACTTTTGCTATCATGTCGCAGGAAGTGTGATGGGTGCCTATGTGTATTCTTGTGATAAGAAACCTACTTGTTAAGCTTTTTAGTGCAAAGCGAGCCTCAGACACACATTCCCCGAGAAAACCTTAGACCATCTAATATATCAAGGCATGTGATACCGGTTAGCCCGGTTGCTAATTTTTTATTAGTTAACCTCAGATATTTTCATAAACACGTTTCAGAGTCCCCCAAACTCTGTTTTGGATGGATATAGAAAGTTTTTTGATAATTTTCTTGTAAAAAATTTCCACAATGACAGATATTCATCCTTACTGTTCAGTTCACCTGGAGCCAGTGATCCAGTACCTGACTTTCCAAATTGAGGTTTTCACACTAAAATAACTTGCTGCTTCTATCTCCGGGGCTGTTTCATGAGCAGAGCAGTCAGTGTTCTTCAGTTTGTGGCTGCCCACATCCTGACCCTGATAATCTTTCTTGTTAGCAGACAGAGATGCGTCTACTGACCTGTGCATACGTTGCAGATAGATACTCTCTGAAATCTACCCTTGGTGGCTGGTGACTTTGCTATCATTGCAGGAAGTGTGATGGGTGCTATGTGTATTTTGTGATAAGAACTACTTGTTAAGCTTTGAGTGAAAGCCAGAGCCTCAGACACCATTCCACTGAGAAAACTTAAGACATCTAATATATCAGGCATGTGATACGGTTATTTACCTGTCTTTTCCAGAGTATTGAATCTGGAACATGTATGTAGGAATTTCCTTACTAGTTTTAGTTTTAATAAGCACTTTTTTTTAATTTTTATTTTTTAGAGGTAGGGTCTTACTTTGTTGCTCAGGTTGGAGTGCAGCAGTGTAATCATGGCTCACTGCAGCCTCAAATTCCTGGGCTCAAGTGATCCTCCCTCCTCAGCCTCCTAAGTAGCTAGGACTGCAGGCATGTGTCACCACATCTGGCTTTTTTCTTTTCTTTTTTCTTTTTTTTTTTTTTTTTTTTTTTTTTTTTTTTTTTTTTTTTTTTTTTTTTTTTTTTTTTTTTTTTTTTTTTTTTTTTTTTTTTTTTTTTTTTTTTTTTTTGTAGAGACTTGATATGTTCCCTAGGCTAGTCTCTAACTCCTGGCCTCAAGCAATCTTTCAGCTTCGGCTTCCCCAGGTGTTGGGATTACAGGTGTGAGCCATTGTGCCCAGCCTTAATAAGCACTTTGACTCTTTGGGGAAAACCAAGGTAAAAGCATGAGAACCCCAGGATAATTTCCTATTGAATTTCTAGAACATACGTACCCTAATTATGGTGTTATTTTCATCTAATCTAATTTATCCCTGGGAATGTTGCCTGAGTATAACCGGCTATTCTTAAGGAAGCCTAACTTTCTAGTACAGTGTATTTCAGAAGCCACCATCATAATGATGTTAGAGAACCCCTTCAGTATCCTTGGCCTGCCATTCAGTCCTATTTTTAGAGGGAGGCTGGGGAGTGCTAGTCTGTCTGGTCGCTCAGGGATCTCTGAAATGTTCAGAGTAGACCCAGAGGACTGGTCTTTGGCTAAGAGGTTCTCTTTGGTCTTGTGTTAGCTATTAAAGAGAATTCCAGGGGAACAGTATATCCGGTACTCTAGGTTACCCAAGCATTTTTTCCTTTAAAGAATTCCAGAGCATTCAGTTTGGCTCAGAATATTTGGAGCTTAACTGAAGCAAAAGCAGACCTTTCCTGGGGTAGCCGTGGGCTAGAATAGTTTTACCCCATCTCCCCCTCTGTCATCCTACAGTTTCCTAAAGATTCATCGAGGTTCAATGTGGGTTACCCGAGGACTTATGTACATTCCAAGGATGCCGAAAGATGCACAGCAGTGCTTATCTTTAATTCTACTAGATAAATTTTACTCATGCCGTGGCTCATGCCTGTAATCCTAGCACTTTGGGAGGCCAAGGTGGGCTGATTACCTGAGGTCAGGAGTTCGAGACCAGTCTGGCTAACATGGCGAAACCCCGTCTCTACTAAAAATACAAAAAATTAGCCAGGCATGGTGGCACGTGCCTGTAATCCCAGCTACTGGGGAGGCTGAGACAGGAGAATTGCTTGAACCTGGGAGGCAGAGGTTGCAGTGAGCCCAGATCGCGCCTCAAAAAAAATTTTTTTTTTTGCTCTACCCAAATGAACAGAATAAACAAGCATCACTATGCACCATTTGTGGGGGGTCAACATTCCCATTGCCTAAAATAAAAGTGCATTCTTGCTTGATATGCTGACACTGGGTGGGATATGACAAGGCTTAGATATGCTGGTAAGGTATACTTCAAGAAAACATATTGAAATAATATCTTTTAAAGTTTATAAAATAAAGTTTGTCCATTTTTTTTCTGTTCTTGTATTTATTGAGCTCAATCCCAGTTTATTTTCAGAAGTCATCTCAGACATAGTAGTGGGTGCCAGAGCATTCCTACCAACCAGGAATACTATGTATATATGGGTGTATTTATCTCCTCCCTTACCCACTGTACCTTAGAACCAACCAAGAATTTCAGCATAATAAACCGATCCTTATCACACTGTCCTTGCAGATTGACTTCAGCCTTTAAACTGGCTGTACTTTGAGCCCCTACCTTGTCAAAACAGATCTACCTAGAAGTGGAAGAGTCCAAATTCAGGATAAAAAGTTGGCCAATGGTAAAGGAATATAGTAGCTTCCAAATCCCACTTCACATTTGCATTCCATTATAATAAAATGGTTCTTTTTTGACACAGCCCCTCTGACATTTTGACATATTCATCTTTGGGTAGAGTCCTCTGTTTCTGTTATTCCTAGAATAATCTTCATTTTTGTCAAGTAATGGACCCTGAATTCTACTACTTTTTCCCAGTTTTCCCTGTGTAGGGTATTGCAGGGTTTTCTAGCTAAGTTGTTTGTTGACTCTTAACAGTTGTCAGAAAATGTGCAATAAAAATAATTTCTAACACTAACAATAGCAAGGCACAGAATCTCTTGGAAGCTACAATCAATGCAGCATCAACCCTGTCCTCCAGCAGCTGAGATGCTGGGGACTGAATTTCTCTGAATAAGCTTGTCATCCATCAGCATCTGTGTCATTATAAGAATAAACATCTCTGGAGTAGAAGAATGGGCAGGACATGAATAACAGTACTCTTCTGTAAGTAGTCTACCCACAGAAGCATATAAAGGTGCATCTATACCAGCCTGTGTTAAGAGTAAAATATGGAGGAGAACGGCTTAATCCCCTCCAATGTGGCATAGAAACCACACAGGAATGTTTCGATGTGAAGACAGATCTCAGGGTTTCCTTCTGCCCTGATATTTCTGAAGCCTGTGTTGTTAAAATTAGTTTTCTTAGTCTCTTTTTCACTATTGCTATTGTCTCATTAAAGTAGCTTGTTTGTAAGAGTCTTGCAGAGTCCACAAAAAGCCTAAAACTGCTTTAGCACAAATATAGAAGTCATAGTAAAATCTAGAAAACTACCTGGTGTTTTCTGATTTCTTTTTTTTTTTTTTTTTGAGACGGAGTCTTGCTCTGTCACCCAGGCTGGAGTGCAGTGGCCGGATCTCAGCTCACTGCAAGCTCCTCCTCTCGGGTTCACGCCATTCTCCTGCCTCAGCCTCCGGAGTAGCTGGGACTACAGGCGCGCGCCACCTCGCCCGGCTAGTTTTTTTTGTATTTTTTAGTAGAGACGGAGTTTCACCGTGTTAGCCAGGATGGTCTCGATATCCTGACCTCATGATCCGCCCGTCTTGGCCTCCCAAAGTGCTGGGATTACAGGCTTGAGCCACCGTGCCCGGCCTTCTGATTTCTTAAGCTGTAATTATTAGTAACAAAGGATTTATGGGATTCCAGAAGATGGAATCTCACAAATGCCAAACCAACTGTTTGATTTCACAGACAAGATTGATGGCAGCTGGGAAGTTAAATTTTAATTATAGTGAGTAGTTTTATTCTTCCATATTTTAGCAAAGCTTCTATAAAAAGGCTTACTAATTTGAATTTTAATTCTTTTCCTTGTTTCAGCCCCTGCTGAAGGTGATAATGAGCGCTAAAATTTTCACAAGTAAGTAGAGGGCAAAGAGAAAGAAAAAAAGGAAATTGCCACAGCCCTGATTGCCAGCCCTTTAGAACTGATAATATATTCCTTTCCTAGTCAATCCATTCTGTCCCAGAGAATTGGGGATTCTATTGGCTCCAAAAGCATCACATGATAATTTTCAAATGTATGGTGTAAGAAAAGGTCAGTTTCACTAGACTGCCAATAAAGGACAGAATTGCTATTTTTTTCTCTGATCATTTCCTATCCCTTAATCTGTGTTTTTCTTAAGTATTTTGCATACAGTTAAGAGGATAGAGAGGCTTTTGGTGAGAAGAACAAAATTTCTCACTTATATTTTCTCTTTTTCAGATAAGAACAGAAGTCATCACAACCTTTGTTCTCTGTAGATTCGCCAACCTGTACTCCATCCGGAGCATGTTAGAAGACTTCGGTGAACACAGGACCAAACTCCCTACTTCTCTTTTCTCCTTTTAAACCTCTGTAGGAATACAGACAATTTTAGAAATGAGAATATTTAGTTATGGAAAAAGTGAAGACCTTGGTGGGAAGTTTGTTTCTATAGAATGAAAAGCATGAATACTAAATTTATAAAACTTAGTAGGAATCAGAGCCAGACGCGGTGGCTCATGCCTGTAATCCCAGCACTTTGGGAGGCTGAGATGGGTGGATCACCTGAGGTTGGGAGCTCGAGACCAGCCTGACCAATATGAAGAAACCCCACCTCTACTAAAAATACAAAATTAGCTGGGCGTGGTGGCGCATGCCTGCAATCCCAGCTACTAGGGAGGCAGAGGCAAGAGAATGGCTTGAACCCAAGAGGCGGAGGTTGTGGTAAGCTGAGACTGCGTCCGTGCACTCCACCGTGGGCAACAAGAACAAAACTCCATCTCAAAAAAAAAAAAATTAGTAGGAACCAGGGAAATAGAAATAGGAACAGTGTGAATTCCCTATAAACTTCCTAATCAGATGACTATAGGATTTGTAATGGAAAAGTGGAACAAAAGGATGTTTCTTAAGAATACGTGTTATTCTTCATTGAAAGTTTTTGTTTGTTTGTTTTTTGTTTTTTGTTTTTGAGACAGGGTCTCACTCTGTCACCCAGGATGGAATGCAGTGGCGTAATCTCAGTTCACTGCAACCTCCACCTCCCGAGTTCAAGCAATTCTCCCACCTCAGCCTCCCTACTAGCTTGGACCACAGGCGTGTGCCACCACGCCCAGCTAACATTTTTGTATTTTTAGTAGAGATGGGTTTTCACCACGTTGGCCAGGCTGGTCTCAAACTCCTGACCTCAGGTGACCCGCCTGCCTCTGCCTCACAAAGTGCTGGGGTTAAAGGGGTGAGCCTCTGTACCTGGCCGATTGGAAGTTTTAAATTATGGACCTTTTAAGTTATGGAAGATTGACAATCAGAAGACAAACAAGTAAGGAAGAGATAGGAGTTAGATGTTCAGGAGGAATACATTAAAACAACAGGTCTGGACTTTTGCTATCTCGTGATAGGCTTTGGCTTAGATTTGCAAAGCTAACATTTCAAAAGTTGTTTCATTTCCAAATAGGTATTACTTAATCTACCACTAGATGCCATTCTCACAGATAATGGTTAACTAGGTCAAAGATTGGCATGCTTTTGATTTTCTTTTTCAAATAATATTCTGCTAAAGAAGCTAAACATAATTAATTCCTAGAATTATCTCTAAATTGAAAGAATTATACACATTAGAAGAGGTTTCAAAGAATATATACTTAGTTATAATTAATTATATCCTATACTTATTCTCAAATACTATAATTATTCCTTATTCTAGTGTTATCCTGCTTACTTCATTTTGTCTAAAAATTCTTTTAGATGGAGTCTTGCTCTGTCTCCCAGGCTGGAGTGCAGTGGTGCAATCCTGGCTCACTGCAACCTCCACCTCCCAGGTTCAAGTGATTCTCTTACCTCAGCCTCCTGAGTAGCTGGGATTACAGGTGCACACCACTATGCCCAGCTAATTTTTGTATTTTTAGTAGAGATGTGGTTTTGCTATGTTGGCCAGGCTGGTTTCGAACTCCTGACCTCAGGTGACTCACCTGCCTAGGCCTCCCAAAGTGCTGAGATTACAAGCGTGAGCCACTGTGCCCAGCCCATTTTATCCAAATCTTCAGGAGAGCAAAATTTTCCAATTTAACCAGGACTATTCATGAATTTGGTCTTCTAAGGACCCAAGCCAGAGTTCTGGGCTCTTCAACAGCTTTGTCAGGTATCAAAACCTCTCTTTTCAGCCTAGTGTTAACACACTATACTTTAACAGTGCTAGACTGGTACTGCTAAGCTTGAGTAAGCTTTAGGGAACCTTCTCAGTGCACCTGATTATGTCCCTGAGTCTCAGAGATTTTTTTGCTTCCTGAGCTGAAGAAGAAATAGAAGAACACTCCTTCCTGACTGCCTTGATGGTTAATTTTATGTGCCAACTTGGCTAGGCTAAGGTGCATGGTCGTTTGGTCAAACACCAGTCTAGATGTTGCTGTGAACGTACTTTTAAAATGTGAGTAGCATTTAAATCAGTAGACTTTGAATGAAGCAGATCATCCTCCATAATGTGAGCAGATCTCATTCAATCCATTGAAGGCCTTAGGAGCAAAGAGTGAGGTTTCCTGAAGAAGAAATTCTCTTCAAGACTACAACATAGAAACCCTGCCAGAGTTGCCGAGCGCGGTGGCTCACGCCTGTAATCCCAGCACTTTGGGAGGCCAAGGTGGGCGGATCACCTGAGGTCAGGAGTTTGAGACCAGCCTGGCCAACATCGTGAAACCCCATCTCTATTAAAAATAAAGAATTATCCAGGTGTGGTGGCGGACCCCTGTAATCCCAGCTACTCGGGAGACTGAGGCGGGAGAATTGCTTGAATTAGGGTGGTAGAAGTTGCAGTGAGCCGAGATCATGCCACTGCCCTTCGGCCTGGGCGACAGAGTGAGACCTACCTACCCACCCTACCCCCGCCAAAAACAAAACAAAAAAACCCTGCCAGAGCTTTTAGCCTGCCCAGTCTGCCCAGTCTGCCCTATAGACTTTGGACTCAAGCCTGCAGCCTCAACTCTTACCTGAATTTTCAGTCTGCTGACCTACTCTGCAAATTTTAGACTTGCCAGCTCCCAGAATTACACGGGTCACTTCCTGAAAATCTCTCTCTCTCTCTCTCTATATATATATACACACACACACACACACATACATACAATGTGTGTATATATACACACACACATACATACAATGTGTAGGTAGATGGATAGATCTCCTATTGGTTCTGTTATTCTGGAGAACTGTGACTAATACAACTTTTCTAATAAGAAAGTTACTCCTCTATCTCTACTTCCTGCATTTCTTCTATTTGGAACTAGCATTTGTAATTTGCATCCAATACTTGCATTTATTTACAAGCATTTCTTCATGGGCTCATGAAGCTCTGATATATTTGTATTGTGCTGCTTCTTATTTTTATTAAAGAACCTTATCATCCATTTATCTTCTTAAAAAGAGGACATTTCAAAATTACATTTAATAGAAAGTAATGTTATAGCAGAAATACAAAGTGATATCTCCATACTTTGTTACAAATTTTTTCAGATGGAGCTCTTAAAAACATTTTAAGTCTTGAGTGTATCTACTGGATAACATTCATTTCCTTTTTTTTTGAATATAGTTAACTATATTTAGTGGATTATGGGTGGAGAAGAAGGATATTTGAATATTTAAGACACAAAAGACAAGATTGATACCAAGACTGACAACACAGAACAAATGCCAGTTTACAAGAGAGAGGCAGAGATGTTAATAGTGATAAATTAAGAATCCTTTGGAACTTTTTCATAACAGGCTGGTAGTATACAGAACACATGACTACCTTAAGTTCCTTTCTCCTAATCTCTTTTGTTGCCTGCAGCCTCAAAAGTGTCCCACTGGGAGAGTGACTTTTCCGAGACTGTCATGAGTGTCTTTGTCGCTGGGACTTGTGTCTCCTAATGCTTGTGTGGCAGGTAGGTGCTTCTTTGAGTCTTGGTGATAGAAACACATAGAAATATGATTTAGTCCTTAAGGAACAAAAAGGAACCCATCCAGTTTTCAAGGGGGAGAAAAAGTTCAAAAGAATCAGAAACTTTTTTTTTTTTTTTAAAAAAAAGAAAAGTAGACAACACGCTTCTTATCTTCAAAGAAATTCCAGAGGGGTTCATTTTAAAAAGGAGAAGACACATGCTACTATTTAAAGAAGTCCCAGAAGAACTTAAACTTGAAATTCCCGCTGTGGCAGCAGCTTTCCTCATTACCTTCATTCTTAGGCATCTTCTATGTCCCCAGAGGAGTTGAAGCCAACTCTGTTTTTCTACTCAGTACAGTGTCCAGCAGCAACTATGACAACTATGTGTGCTGCAAAGAATTTTTCCAGAGGTGGGTGTCTCCAGGGCCACAGAGTTCCCTGTCAGCACTTTATGGGGGAAGTTATTCTCTACACTTGAAAGTAGAGAAGAAAAGAAACACGTGTGAAAGTATCTGGAAGTGCATAAGTGGTGTGTGTAAAGGGGAATGTCATGTTCAGCCTTGTGTTTTTCCTTCTTTCCCACTGGAACTCGTTTGAGTCTTTGTTACCCAGTTAGTAGAAATTGTAGATCTGAGTAGAAGTTTTCTTGTTTGTCGAAAGAGCATTACCACTAGTGATTGAAAGGCTGGCATTTCCAGATAGAAAGGTGGCAGCCGCCCTTTTGCAACTTTTAAACAGTGATAAGAATTCTGGCCCTTTGTCTTTAAGCATTGTATTAAGCAGACTTTGACGTCTTTCTTTCAGCATTTCATTCAACATTACTAACCCCTTTTCCTCCTCTCGTCTCTGGGAAAACATGGACTACCATGCAAAAGCTCCTACCAATGCTGTAGCATCTTCAATCACAGTTGCTGCCCACCACAAGCGGGCCAAATCCCTGAGCCACACCTCTGAATTGATAGATCTTCTATAGAAGCATAGATTGGGCATCCTTTGCTTGTCTCCAGCTTCTCTGCATTGCACTGTTTTGCTGCATACTGTGAGAATGACTCAACCTCTTGCACCCTCAAGTTCCTGGCTTTGAGCAGCTACCTTTCCTAAGTGAAAAGTGAGCATCTGAAAAGCGATCGCTTGCTTTAGAACTATGTTAAAGATGGGTTTCCCTGTGAAGAATGACTCCAAAACATGAGAGATGGTCCATCTGAATAAATCCTTCAGTGAAAAAAAGACCATGATAGACATTGCTGATGCTGGTATATTTTGGACAAATGAATCTGGGGAACAGAAGAAACTACACGGTGCCAGGCGCGGTGGCTCACACCTGTAATCCCAGCACTTTGGGAGGCCGAAGCAGGTGGATCACTTGAGACCAGGAGTTCGAGATCAGCCTGGCCAACATGGTGAAACCCTGTCTGCACTAAAAATGCAAAAAATGAGCCGGGCGTGGTGGCGTGTGCCTGTAGTCCTGGCTGCTCAGGAGGTGGGGGCGCAAGAATCGCTTGAACCCAGGAGGTGGAGGCTGCAGTGAGCCAAAATCATGCCACTGCACTCTAGCCTAGGGTGACAGAGTGAGACTCTATGTCAAAAAACAAACAAACAAAACAAAAGAAGAAACTACACGGAGACTAGGAGTCTTTTTTAGGAGAAAGGAAATTTAGTTTACCTGTAACTAGAAATGGAGCTTAGAATTGTATTTATGGGCTAAGGGAGTGACATGTACCCAGGTACAGGAGAAACTTCAGAGCCTTGCGGACCTTTGGCCATACATACAAGCAGGTGTTCTCGCTTACAAGAGCCCCTTTCAAATCCTAGGCACATTTTAGTCATACAACTGCAAACTCAAAATTAATTTGCCTTAGTTCTAGTGGTGGTCAGGGCTGGTGGTCAAGTGGTGGATGAAGACTGCAATTTTAAATAAAATGGTTAGGGAAGGACTCACATTTAAGCAAAGACCTGAAGGAGGCAGGGGAACAACTCATGGAGATAGCTGGGGACAAGGCTTCCAGAAGAAAAGCAAGAGCAAAGGTCCGACAGTGAAAGTCTGTCTGGGATGTTCTGGGGCCAGCGAGGAGGCCTGTGAGACTGGAGTAAAGTGAGGAAGGGAGGTAGAGGAGCTGGAGCTGGAGCTGGGGTGGCAGTGGGGCCCAGGTGGTGTGGAACTTCTGTAAGCAAACGGGCTTCCCCTGAGTGAGTTGGGAGGGAGAGGAGTGACATGACCTGACTTTTGTTTTAACGGGATCATTCTTGCTGCTGATGAGAACAGACTAAAAGGGAACAAGGGTAGAAGCAAAGAGATTAGGAGGAGGTGTTTTCAGTAATCCAGGGGAGAGATGACAGTAGCTGGGACCAGGATGGGAAGAACCGAGGTGGCAAGAAGTGGTAGGACTCTGAATATATTTCAAAGGCAGATGGATCTGCTGGTGGATTAGATATGAAGTGTGAGAGAAAGAGAGGAGTCACAGGTGAGTCCAAGGTTGTCAGCCTGAGCCATTGGAGGGATGGAATTACCTTAACTAAACAGAGGAAGACTCAGGGAGAGGCAGGTGTTGGGAGAAACATCAGAAGTTCAGTTTGGGATGTGCCTAGCAGAGACATTGAATAGGCAGTTGAATACATGAGTGCAGACAAGTCAGGACTGGAGTTACAAGTTTGGGAGTCATATACATGGAAATGAAAGCCATAAGACTGAATGAGACTCCCAAGAAAGAAAATATAGACAGAATCTAAGAGAAAGAGCCAAAGACTGAGCCCTGGAGCACTCCAATGGTCAAAGTCAGTAGGAACCAGCCAAGGAGATGGAGAAATAGCAGCCATTGAGGAAAGAGGAAAGCCAGGAGAGAGGGGTATTATGAAAACAAGAGGAATGTCAGGCGCGGTGGCTCTTGCCTGTAATCCCAGCACTTTGGGAGGCTGAGGCAGGCGGATCACCTGAGGTCAGGAGTTTGAGACCAGCCTGACCAACATGGAGAAACCCCATCTCTAGCAAAAATACAAAATTAACGGGGCGTGGTGGTGCATGTCTGTGATCCCAGCTACTTGGGAGGCTGAGGCAGGAGAATCCCTTGAACCCGGGAGGCAGAGGTTGCAGTGAGCCGAGATCACGCCACTGCACTCCAGCCTGGGTAACAAGAGTGAGACTCCGTCTCAAAAAAAAAGAAAGAAAACCAAAGGAAGAAAATGTTTTATGGGGGAAAAAAGGAGTCCACTGTTGAATATTGCTGATCAGTGAAGTAATAATGAGGGATATTTGCCTGGGATTTTGCAATGTAGGGAACATTAGTAATTGTAACAAGGGCAGTTTTTTTAGAGAGGTGGGGGTAGAAGCCTGAATGAGTAGGTTCAGGAGAGAACGGGATGAGAGGAACTGCAGACAGGGAGGATAGATGACTATTTTGAAGAGTTCTTCTGCAGAGAGTGCAAGAATAGAGCAGTAGCTAGAGGTGAAAGTGAAGTCAAGAGAGGGTTTTTTTTTCCCCTTTTTAAAGTGGGTGCAATAATACTGCATTTGCACAGTAATGGAAATGTCTAATAGAAAAAGTGTTGATGCATCAGAGAAGCAGAGAATAGCTGGAGAAATTCTTTTCTCAGCATGTCTCACAGAACTGAAGACATTCTAACCTATGCCAAAGTTTGTTCCTATCCTGTGTACAATGAAATGCCAGCAATTCTGGTTAAGGAAATAGTTTCTGCAGGGGCAGAAGTGGAAAGAGTTTCCGAGGTCCTTTGGAAAGCCAGGTCCCTGTATCTTGGAGTCTGAGGGCAGGGTGTGTGTGGATGAAAGTGCTAACCCAAGGGCCTCAGCTTTGACTCGAAGATAAATTCTTCTGGGCATTCGCACGAAACCCACTCAAGCAACCTTTCTGTACAATATAGCTTATAAAAAGACTTCGCTAAAACAGATTTTTACCATTTGTGATTATTGGAAGAGACAATCCATTCCACTGAGAGACTTTGTGGAGATGGGCAGAAGAGGGGATCAGATTTCCGTACTGAGACGTCAGTCTGGCTGCTGAGGATTGAGGAAGCTGTGTCAGTAGTTCAGGTGAGAGATGTTGGTAGCTCGGACTAGAATGGAGGTAGTGAGGATGAATTTGATTAATTTGTTCTAAGCTAAAGGTATACATTTGGCAGATTTCCTATAGATCATGATGAAATCATGGGTAGTAAAGTGAGGGAAGGGTCTAGTGAAGAATGAGAAAGACATGGGGCCTTGAAAAGAGCTCTAAGGAAGCCCAAGACTTTCGAGTCCTTTAGACTCCAGGGCTTGGTAAGCTTACCCAGTAAAGGATCGGATAGTAAATATTTCAGGCTTTGTAGCCAAGAATCAAAATCAAGATATTATATGGGTACTTATATAACAAAGAGGAAAGAGAAGCCATAAAGCTTTTATCGACAAAATTCAAAATATAATAAAAATTGAGGACACCCTTTTTATAATATAGTTCTACCAATGAGAAAAATGAAATTTTCTTTTAAGGGAATGATAGTTTTGCTTAATTGGTGTTCAGAGTTAGTCTTCCCTATTATCAAAATAAATTGCAAATGTTCGTCTATTAATGTGATGAGGTTTTACATCTTTATATATTTCAAATGTCTTTTTACACAGACACATAATGCCAAATGCTGATATCAATTCAGGAACATATAATTTAAACTGAACATATTCATTGCCTGGAAAGGTATTCATAGAATTCTATTAGATTCTTCTTTTGACAGGCTTTTAGCATGTCATTGCCAATAAATCACTTTCTTTTTTTTTTTTTGTTTTTGAGCTAGAGTCTCGCTTTGTCACCCAGGCTGGAGTGCAGTGGTGCAATCTCGGCTCACTGCAACCTCTGCCTCCCAGGTTCTAGCGATTCTCCTGCCTCAGCCTCCCGAGTAGCTGGGACTACAGACACGCGCCACCACGCCCAGCTAATTTTTGTAATTTTTAGTAGAGATGATGTTTCACCGTATTGGCCAGGATGGTCTCAAACTCCTGACCTCATGATCTGCCCGTCTCAGACTCCCAAAGTCTTGGGATGAGAGGCGTGAGCCACCACGCCCAGCCTACACTTTCTTTTTTTAATTTTAAAACCATTTTTTAATTATTTAAAAATTTTTTAATTAAAAATATGGAAGCTTTCATGAATTTGCATGTCATCCTTGCACAGGAGCCATGCTAATCTTCTCTGTATCGTTCCAATTTTTATACATGTGCTGCCAAAGCAAGCACCGATAAATCACTTTCCTAAACCACACAGTTAAATGTACTTTGAAATTACCTTTGTTCTTGCACTGAGTTCAGAAAAACTCTGCTGGAATGGTCATTTAAGCTCAGAAAATATATCTGTTGCAAATGGAGAATGGAGATCTTGCTTTTTGTTTTCAGTTTTGACAGCATGGGAAGTACATAAAGTAATTTCATATTACTTGTGATTGAGACATGAGTCATCTAAATGACTTTACCATAAGTTTTGAATATTAGCACTGTTTTGCCTCATAATTTTAGGTTGAATTTATTAAGAAACATTATCAAGTCTGTAGCAAAAGCTAATTCCAAAGTAATTAACAGTGGTTGCGGGCAGTTCTTCTATTTGAAAAAAACTTCAAACCTAGCCCCAAGCTCAAAAGATTGCAAAAAAAATCTTACCATTGCTGAACCATTGACTGCTGTGTAGGGGGGCAAGTCAGGATATTCACACAATTCTTCAGTTCCCACTAAAGACTCAATATTGATTCCTTGAACAATCCACAACTGAGCAGAATCAGTAACCCATGTTGATTCACCAAGACCCAAGGAAAATCACTCCACATCATTTGTGTTAATTATTGTCACTCCCATTGTCCTCAACTCGGACAGCAACCCTCCATGGCAAAGGCTAATACTAATTTTAAGCAGTTTGTTTCTTCTGGACACATTTCTTCAGCAACCAAACATGATTTAATTAACTAGCCATTAGTAAATGGATTTCCTTGATTAGTTAACAAATGAGCCAGTTGGGGTACTTATCTGCAAAAAGGTTGAAGACTTTTTTTTTTCATTTTTTTATTTTTGTGAAGACATTTTGCTGACATGAGATATTTCATTTTAAATTTTCTATTTTTTCCTGACTCTTGCTTTCCTGTGAGTTGGAAATCTTGTGATGAGTACTTCTGGTAATGTCAGCATATATTCTTTCAGCACAACTATAATGTCGTTGTACAATGTTTTGCCGTCTAATTTAATCAGAATGATCCACACTCCACTGTGCCTTAAAAGTATGACAGTGACATTTACTTTTCTTTTCTGTTTTGACATGATGGGTATAGACTGGTAATATACATTTCTTTTCTGTTTTGACATGATGGGTATAGACTGGTAATAAAAAAATAAAACATCATAGGTACAGTGACACATGAGACACTTGAAACACTGCCAAGTGATAACTGTGTCACTGTGATGTGTGGCGTGCCAAGTCACATTGCGAAGCAGTGACAGCACCCTATAGTGTCTCTATCACAACTACTCAGTCTGCCATTGGAACACAAAAGTAGCCATGGACAATGTGCAAATGAATAAATGTGGCTGTGTTCCAAAAAAACATTATTTATGGACACTGAAATTTGAAATTCATGTCATTTTCATGCATCATGAAATATTATTTTTCTTTTCCTTTGTTTCAACTATTAGAATATGTAAAAAAAAAATTTAGCTTGAGGACCTGTTAAAAACAGATGGCAGGCCATAATTTGGTAAATGGAAGATTGTTTCAAGATGAAGCCTAGAAAATAGCCACTGGGCCAGGCATGGTGGCTCATGCCTGTAATCCCAGCACTTTGGGAGACTAAGGCAGCAAAATTGCTTGAACCCAGGGGGCGGAGGTGGCAGTGAGCCGGGATCAAGCCACTGCACTCTTCTCAAAAAAAAAAAACAACCGCTGCAACTCTCAGTTATTTGTTGAACTCAGAGGAAGCAGTTGGACAATGTGAGAAAAACTGCAGATATAAGTGGATCGAGTGGTGAATTGAAGGTGAGAGAACGAATGTGGAAAGTATAAGCCATCTTTTTGCAAAATATGGCTCTAAAATGGAGGAAAGAAATGATGTAATTTAAGAGAAGACTATTGGTTAAAATAGGTGCAACTTGATCATGAGCACTTAAATCTCCATTTCTTCTTTCTTCTTTAATAAGGAAAATAATAGCTATCTTGATGTTTCTTAGAACAGTCAAATGAGATAAAGTATGTTTTAAAGGCACCAGCATGATGCCTAGCATATAGTAGGTTCTCAAGAGTTAATTAATAAATATTCTTGTATACTTCTTATTTGCTTCGTGAAAAACAAGAGTTTATTGCTTCCCATGTAGCTTTGTTATTTAGTTCTTGAACTATTTTTTTTTAAATCAAGGTTGTATTGCCTTAGTGAGGTGCTTTGAAAGTTGTTAAATAAATCAGAAGTTAACTGATTGGTCAGGATACTATATTACAATTTTAATAATTTGGATTTTGTAACTTCCCCAACTTTCCGCCTGCTAGACTGAATTCTAATCTTTTTAGTCTGTCTTCACATGGGAACCACTTCATCCTTTCTGTCATTTTCATTGCCTTTTTAAAATCATACTAAAATTAGACAAATAATTATACAAATGAATCATACAAATCATACACTGGTTTGGTATATTAGTGGGCTTATATTTATTTTTATTACTTTTTTAATATAACTTTTTTTCTGTAAGTCATACCTAGAGTTACCACATGACCCAGAAATTCCACTGCTAGGTATATACCCCAAGAGAAGTGAAAACATATGCCCATGCAGAAACCTGTGTGTGAGTGTTCACAGCAGCCTTATCATAATAGCCCCAAAGTAGAAATAACCTAAATATTCAGCAACTGATGAATAGATAAATAAAATGTGTATATCTATATGGTGGAATTTCATTTGGCCATAAGAATACGTGAGGTACTGATACAGGCTACAGAATGAATAAAACTTGAAAATATTTTGCTAAGCTTTAGAAGCTCATCACAAAGACCACTTATTGAATGATTCCATTTACATGAAATGTCCAGAATAGACAAAATGATAAGGACAGGAAGTAGGTTGTTGGTTGCCTAGGACTTTGGGGTGAGGATTAGGGGAGAAATACCTATTGGAGTTTCACTGTGGGTCGATGCTTTATATTCTGTGTCTGATAATCTGGTATCTGGAGTCCCTGTGGGTGTGTCTTTTGAATGTTGTTTTGCTAGAGGGATATTTTCTCCTCCTGCATCTGTCTGTATTTGACTGTGTGGAGGACTCTGTATTTGAGATTTTATTGTCAGAAATAATTTGAAGCCTAGATGGATGTTACATTTTTTCAAAAAAGAATTTTGCTCATTTTTTTCAGGCACTCGGGGATGCCAGCAATCAGGTATCACCGTTTTTTGTTTGTTTGTTTTTTGAGCAGGAATGAAAGTTTATTAAACAGCTTTAGAGCAGGAATGAACAGAAAGTAAAGTACACTTGGAAGAGGGCCAAGCGGACATCTTGGAGTTCAAGCGCAATCAGGTATCATCCAATCCTAGGCTAGAGGTTTTCTGGGCTACCTGAAAAATTTGAATGGCACTGGGTAGCAGACTGCAAGGGCTGGTTTACTTCCACTTCACCTCTGGTTCCTGGGTACAGTCAGTGCTGTGTCAAGCCACAGTGGAGCCCGAGGCAAAAGAAACATCAGTAATACTGATCTTGTCTTCATTTAACATTTTGATATTTTGTTCATCATGGATTTTTTCATTAATTTTGATCTTTAAAAATAGTGCATTAATACTTATCTGGATTACTGAGGTTTTTTTTGGTCCTCCTAAATTTTGTGGACATGGTGAGTACTTCACTGACCTCACACTACTTCCAGCCTTGGTATCTGCCTTGGGATTTGTACACCCTGGGCAGTTTGAAGAGAACAGTTGTGGTTCCCTCCAACGTCCTATAAAATCCCATGAAGGTTTCCTCCTTTATGATACCATTTATAATTAACTATAAGACTTCCACAGGATTGGGGGGCCAATACATCACATTCAGTAGGCTTATCAGACTACTTTTCATCCTCAAAGTAATGGGTTAATAGAAAATTGGAAGGAATAAAACCACGTGCTCATGCCTGTAAATCCCAGCACTTTGGGAAGCTGAGGCGGGCGGATCACCTGAGGTAAAATTATTATTTTAGAAGCTAATACAACTTATAATATTGATATTAACAATCAAATATATTGGGATATTGAACTAAATTCCCTTCAGCATATTATCCCTATGGAGTAGGATTAGCCTGAAGCATTATTTTGACTTCAGCAACAATAATTATAGTTTATAATCACTCAGCAGATACACACTACAAAGTACACACTGCTACAGATTAAGTAGGCAAATGACTTGCTGTAAAGTTAATTCAAATATATGAGAAAGCGTATGCTAGAATTTTTGGTTGGTTCAGCCATCTGTAGAAGTCCAAACCAACTGGTTATTAAAAATGTGTGGAATCTGTATATACACTTTGATTATTTGGTTATATGATATTGCAAGACAAGTGGTAGCTCTCCAACTAGGAGTGATCATTTTGTCACGGTAAGGCCTTGATCACGGATCAGGAACGTAGACCACACTGTGGATTGTTTTGAGCATGACTATTTTCTGAGGCGGAAACTCCCTCCCACACACACAGGGCGGTGGTGGTGCTGGAGTTACAAGAGAGATAATTGATGTAGCAAATTCTAAAAAACGACAAAGATTAGGATCAAAGGATGGTTGTGTGGATTAGACTTGGTCAGAAGGTTCACCTCTTCTTCTGTAGCAGTGAGAGAAGTGACCCTTTATACAGGGTTGAGAAGCAAATGCATGCAATGAGGTGAAGGCCTGATTTTTCTCTCTGGAAGCTTAGGTAGTATAGTAATCCCTTCGTCCAGAGTTTCACTTTCAGCAGTTTCAGTTACCAGTGGTCAACCATGGTCCAAAAATATTAAATAGAAAAATCCAGAAATAAATAATTCATAAGTTTTAAATTGCACGCTGTTCTGAGCTGCGTGATGAAATCTTGCAGTGGCCCACTCCACTCCCTCCACCTGAGACGTGAATCCTCCCGTCCAGCATATCACACTGTACATACCACCCGTCCTTCAGTCGCTTAGCAGCCACCTCGTTATCAGACCACAGTCCTGGTATTCAAGTAACCTTATTTTACTGAATAATGACTCAAATGCAAGTCTTGATGCTGGCAATTCGGACATACCAAAGAAAAGCCTAAGTGGCTTTCTTTAAGGGAAAGGTGAAAGTTCTCAACAAGAAAAGAAAAACTTGCATGTTGAGGTTGCTGAGATCCATGGTAAGAACGAATCTCCTCTCTGTGAAGTTGTGATAAAGGAAAAAGAAATTCATGCTAGTTTTGCTGTCACACTACACATGGCAAAAGTTATGGCCACAGTGCACTGATAAGTGCTTAGTTAAGGTGGAAAAGGCATTACTTTTTGTTTGCAAGACACGAACAGAAAACATGTTCCCAACTGACAGCCATGTGTTGCACCAGATTAACTTTATCATAGGTCTGCATGTATAAGAAAAGGCACAGTACACATAGGGTTTGGTACTACCCATAGTTTCAGGCATTCACCGGGGATCTTGGAACATATCCCCTGAGGATAAGGGAGAACTACTTACTGGAAAGGAAAGGAGAAAGAAACTTAACCAGAATAGGCAAATGTATATAAACGTATAGGGGATTGTAAACTGAAGGAACTAATGCCTGATGGTCTCTATTTCCTCTGTGAAAAATTAAACAATATGATCAGCTAAGAAAATGTAGTGAAGGTTTGAAATAGCTACTGAGGAGGACACAGAGAACTGTGTAGCAGAATTGTCGGGTAGTATTTAGGCCTGCAAATATATACCCTAATTTGCACCAATCCACACAACTGGATAGATTTCTCAAGCAGGATTCAGTCCCTGTATAGGACTAATAGGTGTTTCTGTAATGGATGTAAAAGGAACACCAGGATGTAAAGGAGTTAAAGGTGTTAGTAAGGGTATGGTTGAAACCTGTGACTCATTTCAAAGTACACAATCTATGCAGATTTTTCACAAAAAACACATTCAGCAACTTAAGAACAGAGACTCTTCCTTTCCGGGGCCTAGGATTACTCCTTATACTCAGAAGATATTCAGATATTTTTGAATGAATGAATGAATTAATAAACAAAAATCTGACTTTGCTAAGCATTGCTGAATGTAAGTATTAGGTTTACTTTTGTGATGAATATGTTAATTATTTTAGAGAATCAGAATTCTGTATCAAGAGCCACATTCCTATAATTTACTTACACTAAAATGACTAGACCAATGCCAAATTCAGTCTGGAACACAAAAGTTTATTAGAATAAAAATACACATACAGTATCAACACTAAAATTATTTCACGTCGCATATAGGTTTTACCTCCATTAGTTTTTTTTAATGCTTATAAAGTCTATGCTCTAAATAATTTGCACATTTGTAAACAAATCTTAGATTACCAAAGATGCAGTGTATCTATCAGATATTGAATATCAAAACTTAAGGATGGGAACTGATAGCGAAATCCAATTACACTAAACATTCCTGTAAATTTTTGGAAAGAGAGGAAAAGATTAAAATAATTCACTTGAAATGAGGTAAGATGTATATGAAAAGGTTTTTAGTAGCATATATCACAATGTTGAGATGAGAATATTAAAAACATTCATGGAAAATTCACTTTGATGTTTTGCATAGTCTAGGTTATTTTTTAAAAAACAAAAAATTAAAAATTACCCAAATTCCTTATTAGAAAGAGACAATTACCTGGTTCTACTTAGGATCCGTGTATGTTCTAAGTCTTTCTCTCCTTTATAAAAAAAAAGAGATTATCTGATTCTATTTAGGATCTGTGTACATTCTAAGTCTTTCTCTCATTTAGAGAAAAACATTCTCAAGTCTATAGAAAAGGAAAAAAAATTAAGATTAGGACCAACATTTCAAGCTGCCTTTTGGAAAGAAAATTAAAAACAGAGGTAGATGGTTAATTATTAGTGGCCAAGTTACTCAGGTGACTAATTTTTCTCTTGGTACACATTCACCAAAATTTTATACTTGAAGCCAAATAGTAAATAACTTTAGGAGTAGAGAGTAATACCTAGCAGAAGTTATTTTCTTTATGTCAAAGAAAAGTAATAGAAGCAAACCAGGCTTACGACCCCTGTTAAGGAGATGATTGTTTAAAGCACTACAGTTCATGCAGTTTTCAAAGCAGGATAATGAACCTTGCCCCTAAGCTTCTTAGGTGTATCTGAGGCCAGCCACAAGCTCCATCAGGCCTGTTCAGTCCAAGTAGGACTGCAGGGTGCCTCGGCGCCGGACATCGCAGGTCCAGCAGTGGAAGCCTCCTCCCAGGGAATTGGCATTACGAATGTTAACTTTAATGGTAGTGATACCTGCATTGAAAGAGAGATGAGGTCAGTTAGATGGACTAACACGAAGATTCTCCTAGAGAAAGTAGGCCTACAGATTTGGAGGAATATTGTGGTTCTAATCCTTAAGGATACCCAATCCAGAATAGTCTTTTCTCTTCCAATTTTATTTTCACCAACTATATTTCATCTGCTAATATAAAATCTTCTCCAAAAAGTCAACAGAGAACTCTGAAGTTTTGTTCTATTGACTATTCACAAGTCAACAGACTGAGCAGGTATACCTATCAAATGTTCAAAATGGTCAAGTACTAAAATCTCAAGGCCTTTTAGAATTACACATTAACTACTTTGTCAGACTGTTTCTAATTTTACCATGTTAATTTAATAGGCAAAGCAAAATTTAGCTGACCTGAAAAGTTGACTTTACATATTCACATATAAGGAGAGTTTACTGATACAGATTAACTTCACCAGGCCACCATAAGGAAACAATGGAACACAGCTGGTGTTTTAATATCTGGGTTTGTATGGTTATACAGGTACCAAAGCAAATCCAGCAATCAGTTTAATCTGGTACCATCTGTAATAACAAGGCTATGATGTGCGTGGCCTATTTAACCAATGGTATTTAGGAAGAATCTGTTGTGTTAGACATAGTGGGGTTTTAAAAAGAAAATCTATTCTTCCTCCTCAAGAAGCTAATTATTTTGAGAGGAGGATAGGCTACAAAGTCACTAAGGGTCCATTGGTATAGCCAGGGAGAGGAAGGTGGCATGAGCCATTCAGAAAGACTTTCCTAGTCGGGCATGGTGGCTCACACCCATAATCCCAACGCTATGGGAGGCAGAGGTGGGTGGATCACTTGAGGTCGGAGTTTGAGACCAGCCTGGCCGAGTCACTCTCTACTAAAAATACAAAATTAGCCAGGCATGGTGGTGCATGCCTGTAATCCCAGCTACTCAGGAGGCTGAGGCAGGAGAATCGCTTGAACCCGGGAAGTGTAGGTTGCAGTGAGTCGAGGTTGTGCCACTGCACTACAGCCTGGGTGACACAGCTCTATCTCAAAACACACACACACACACACACACACACACACACATCTTTATAACAGCTCATATGAAAATCCTTTCCTTCAACATTTTTCTCAATAATACTAGAATCATTGGTCTAAATTTTGAATATCAGGATAAGTAAACTCCTACTTAAGTAAAACCCAGTCCTGCTCTTCAGTTCAAAACTGAATGATTTACTGACACACTTTCTTGTGTTTCACTACTTTGTTAACTATGGTTATTACACATAAAAGTCACTTCTGCATCTGTACGCTTAAGAGTCCTTGAAAATATATGATGACAAGACACTTTTAAAGGACCCACAATGATTTCTTATTTGAAGAAGGGCTGGCCAAGCTATCTGCTCACCTGCAAAGGGGTGGTTTTCCACACATGGGCACCAGGAGGCTGGCTAAGTCACATAAGATTTATAAACTTATTGCTAAGGGGGTGTCTCAGGAGTTCAGGATGCATCTCCAACTTCTGGGGGCTACGTGTGTTGAAAATAAAAATACTGACTTTCTGTGAAATAATAACTTGGTGCCTCTAAAAGGAATCAAAATTGAATTAGATAAACCATTTATCAAACCTAGCATGTCATTTCTTTAGTTCTTCTCCTTTAACATTTTCATGTATGACAACATGTTTCATTTGTTGTACATACCCAGCTTTTCAAACATCTTTTGAGTTGGAACTTCATTGGCATCCACCATAACACGTTTTTCATCTAGCATTAAGACATTCATGGAAAGCCATTTGGATGACATCCAGAGTGGATGATCTAAAAACAGCAACAACTGTTAAACCATGTCTGCTATGATTTTGGTTTAAAGCAAGGATTTACAAGTGAAGAATATTAAAGTGACAGCTCAATTCTTTCAGTAGTTCACTTTCCATGTGAACGCTTATTTTAATCTTAAAACAATTTATCTATAAATGGTATGAATCAATCTGTACTCATTATACATTTGAATTTCACCCTGTTTTCTTTTAAAAGTCGTATCTTGGCTGGGCATGGTATAATCCTAGCACTTTGGGAGGCTGAGGCAGGAGGATTCTTTGAGCCCAAGAGTTTGAGACTATTGCCCAGAGATGGTGTCTCACTGGGGAACACAGCAAGACACTATCTCTACAAACAAACAAACAAAAAATAACTTGCTGGGCATAGTGGCCTGCACTTATAGTCCCAGCTACTTAGAAAGCTGAATTGGAAAGATCACTTGAGCCCAGGAGTCTGAGGCTGCAGTGAGCTGTGAATGCACGACTGCACTTAAGCCTGGGCGACAGAGCAAGACACAGTCTCAAAAAAAAAAAAGTCATATCTTGCTTTATGTGATGTTGTCTTATTCTGTCTTCTCCCCATTTCATTTTCTATGGAAGAAAAAGTTGCAGACACAAGTCTCAGCCTTTTTCTGCTGCTCAGAGTCCCAAGCACCACTTTATACCTTACTGAGGAAACACATTCTCTAAGCTGCTAACATCGGGCTCCTCTCTATAGGCAAAAGATCCTTGGTCACTAAAGTCATTATTTTAGTCTATCAGTGTATGAAAGTAAACATACCGTCTGGGATGATTGGTGTTGGAGGAGTAATGATAGTCCATCCTGCTTTCTTGAAAAGATCAATCTGTAAGACCGAAAAAACCCCCCAAAACTGTTAAATTAACATATACTATTATTATTCTTAGTCTCTAATAACCCTTATCAGTAATAATTCTTTTTGAGAAGCTGTCTTCTCAGCTTCCAAAATAAAGAAATTAAAATTTCTAAACATTTGGGTGATTTTGTCTGAATCCTAATTAAAAATGTACATAAAATCCCCAGATTAAAGTTAAAAAGTAACAGAAATATTGAAGCTTTTAAAGACAGTCTTATACTTTTCTCTGGTTTCAGAGTCTTAAAAAACCAAAGATACTTTCCTTAGAAATTCTCATTTTAAAAATTGAAAAATTTCCTATTTAGTTACAAGAAAACAAAAATGTGACTACGTCAAACCCACAGTCCTTCTACTTCTTGTCCATCATTTTGTATCTAGGACCATGGTATAAAGACAGATGTTAGCTATGCATTCTCAAAGAACCATATTGTCCTTAGTGACCTTTTGCAACTCAGCCATCCCTGTGTTCACATACCCACTAACTATATGAATAAATGATAATAAAATGAAATGAATAAGTAGTCATGGTCATCGGGTCTAAAAATAAAAAACAGAAATGAACAGTGACACAGCATAACAGTGGTTTTTAAAAGTTGTACTGCAATCTTGCAAATAACAGAAAATCACTCATCACCTAACTAGAAGTAGGGGGCTGTGGACAGAAAGTAGGAGGCTGCAGGTGAAAGGGACAGACCAGCTGCAGTTCAGTGGCTCTGCTTCTCCCTACAAAGCAGGGTTGGCCAAAGGGAGCCTAACCCACTGTAGAGGGAAGACAAGCACTGTCCAGTGGCATTGCCCTGCCCATGCAAGGATCATCTTGTCTAAAATTCGCTGCTATGGAACCACTGTTGCAAGTTGTGAGATAATGTCACCCTGTTTGATTAAAATACACACATATGCGCAAATCTGAGACTTTGACAACAGCAAGCAGCCAAAGTCTGATGATCCCATACTAATTATTGTGTCAACTACGTATATTTCTGCATGGTGGACATCTTGTAATAAACCATAAGGAATCCAATGTTTGATCATAATAATGTTGAGTACTGCTGAATCTGTCATTCAGAACCATTAGGAACCATGGAAGTGCTTAAAATAAAAGTGTCAATTATTTTAGTTACTAGATTCTGTTGCTTTTCCAGAGTCCTGAGAAATCTCTTACCTGGTGACATGGTCGGTCAGGGTTGGAAAGCACAGTACCAGGTCCAATGATGTTGAAGGTAGCATCAATATGCATGGGATTGGGATCTTTAAAGGAGATGATATGTACTCTGTAATCTGGAGCAAGATGCCTACGCATCCATTCAATGCCTAGGTAGTTTGTAACCTGAAAACAAAAGAAAGACATACAATCAACAAATATTTGGTTCTATGTCTAGAAAACTAAAAATATTCAAGGTGAAAAAAATTTAGGATGAAAATATTTTAATTTGGAAGTAAAGAATACAATAATATAGTGTGAAATTTCAGAGACAGCCTGTGTTTACCTGGCTTCTCTGTGCAAAAATATCTTTTCCAGCTCGAATGAAGTCAGCAGCATCAAAGCATGGCTCAAACTCAGTTGTCACAAATTTTCCCTGAGCAGCCAATTTGTGTCTGTCTTCTACAGAGTGGATGGGATAATCCTAATTGGAACAAGAATGAACACAAACAATGCATTGGATCGTGAGAAAACTATTTATAAGGCATACAGTACTAAGAAAATTAGTTTAACATCATTTTCCAAAATATTACTACTCAGTTCTAGACTAAAACATGCCTGGGAAAGAAGCGGGTCCATGATAAATAAACCAAAACAACAATAAAACAACAAACTAGCATTACAGTAATTTCCTGATACAGTAGTCCTCCTTTACCCATGATTCCACTTTCCATGGTTTCAGTTACCTGCAGTCAACTGTTGTTCCAAAACATTATTTTAAGAGAAACAGAAAGACCACATTCACCTAACTTTTAGTAAAGTATATTTATATAATTGTTCCATTTTCTTATTCATTATTGTTGTTAGTCTTACTGTGCCTAATTTGTAAATTCAACTTCATCATAGGTATGTATATATGTATAGGAAAAAACAAAATATATAGAGTTCAGTATCAGCATCCACTGAGAGTCTGGAACGTGTCCCCTAAGGATGAGGGGGCACGATGTACTTAGAAAAAAATGGTACATGCCAGGTGAGATGGCTCATGCCTGTAATCCCAGCACTTTGGGAGGCCAAAGTGGGCAGATCACCTGAGGTCAGGAGTTCGAGACCAGCCTGACCAACATGGTGAAATCCCGTTTCTACTAAAAATACAAAAATTAGTCAGGCATAGTGGCATGTACCTGTCATCACAGCTACCCAGGAGGCTGAGGCAGGAGAATTGCTGGAACCTGGGAGGTAGAGGCTGCAGTGAGCTGAGATCATGCCACTGCACTCCAGTCTGGGCAACAGAGCAAGGCTCTGTCTCAAAAAAAAAAAAAAAAGGGATACAGAGGCAGTAACTGATTCTGAGAATATTCCATGACCCGTACGGAAAGTAAACAGGATGAAGTCATTCTGTTCTTTTAGAAAAGGAATTTGGTCCCGAGCCTAACTCATACCATAAAATGAGATGCCATGTTTCCCCTGCCAAATTTGATTGGGAGTGGCCAAACTAATTCATTATTTCTGTCTTTAAACCCAGAAGCTATTTTGATTTTCAGTTTTTTTTCTATAAAAGATCAAATGGTAACTGATTTAATAAGGGACATACATTTCATTTTACTGTGAATTTGGACTGTAGACCAGGTTCTTTTTCTAGAAGAAGAAAAGTGAACTTCAGTCTAGTGACTTTTCTGGTTCCACTAATGAATAGTGGTACACCTGTAGGCAAGTTTTTCCCCCTCTAATGGAATGATACCACAGTATCATAAGGGTTGTTGTGAAAAACAAACAGGATTGAGGATGTAAATAAAGGGTTTAACCCAGGACCCAGAAGAAGGTAAGCACCAAAAAGTGTTAGCGATTATTATTACCATCATAGGATCATTTACTCTTATCATATTCATCATAAAATAATCACTTTTTAAAAATAAGATGATGTTTTCTCTTTCTAAAATGCATAATATGTAAAAGGTATCAGAGAATCTCTATCTTACTCTTTGTAGATCAGTTAGAAAAGTTAGTAATAAGCTAGCCTATTATTAGGGACTCACCCGGTCATAAAGCTCATCAGCCATTGTGGGCTTAGGAGCTGTTGTCCACTTGGCGCCACGGTGGAAGTAGTCTTTGATAATTGACCTGTACGCTCGGTACTCAAAGAAGCGTGAACGCCATGCCATGGGAGCCTCGATAATCTCATTGCCCACAACTATCAGGATGTCTCGAGGCATTGCACTGTATAAACCTGTCAGACCAAAAAATTCCATGACAACTTCAGCAGTGTTAATTTCCAAGACAAAAAAGGTCTATATAGGGCTAGGCGCAGTGGTTCATGCCTGTAATCCCAGCACTTTGGGAGGCCAAGATGGGCGGATCACTTGATCCTGACCGGGCTGGTCAGGAGTTCAAGAGCTGCCTGGCCAACATGGTCAAGCCCCGTCTCTACTAAAAGAATACAAAAAAAATTAGCCAGGCATGGTGGCATGTGCCTGTAATCCTAGCTACTCGGGAGACTGAGGCAGGAGAATCACTTGAACCAGGAAGCCAAGGCTGCAGTGAGCGGAGATTGTACCACTGCACTCCAGCCTGGGCAATAGAGTGAGATTCTGTCTCAAAAAAAAAAAAGTCTATATAATATGACCTCTTCTTTTGGTTAAAAAAACTAGTAAAAATACATGTGTATATGTATATATGAAAATGGCAAAAAATTTGAATAATACATACTAGATTGTTCACATGAATTCTGTGTGGTGGTATGGAAGCCAAGAAAAAAAAGAAAAGAAAAAAAGTGAAGGAATAAAGTCTTTGTACAAAGAGATGTTGAACTACCAAGCTTTCACCATTTGTAAGCTCCTTTCTTGCTATACAGAAACAGAGCTCTTAAAGGACCATCAGCATCACAAGATAAAAACTGAGCCAAGGATCAATCTAAAACTAGAAATTAGAACAGTGACCTAAGGCACAAGAACAGTCATGCAGCAATGTCAGTTAAAAATAAAATGGAAATGTTTCTATTCCCCTTTTAATTTCTGTTCTTGAGGAAAATTAAATGAATCCACTGTTCTTATGTAAGGAAATGACTATAAAGTTTAGGAAAATTTGTTATTTCACGGAGATTCCACTAGATGGAATGGAGTTTAGAATGTATACATCTTAATCATATCAACATGGACCAAACCATTCCTAAATAAATCTTTAAAGTTTTCAAGAACTAGCAAAGCAAAGGACTCTCCAAGAAATTTTTTGGAGCTTTCCCCCTACACATTAAGAAAGACACTGAAAATTCAGACACTGGCAGTTTAGTTATCTGACATCACTTACCCGTAGACTCAAAATCAGGAGTTTTATACTTCAATGACCAGTCAATGGGGTCAGGCCTCCTCACTGTCACTCCTTCCATTTTTAAAATATTGCACATTTCTTCAATTTCAGTAACAGCCTTTTTCAAATGATCTTTGGGAAAATAATGCCCTCCATGCTTCTGGTAAAATGGCCAGTACTTTTCATATGTGTTGGCCTGGAAGTAGAAGCAAATAAACCCAATACTTACAGGAGAAAAATACAGCTCATGATAGGTTTATAGGCAGTAAACAGCTCTTTGTATAAGGTATTGGAATTGAGACTCCAACCACGCCACGTTCAGTGCTGATTCCTAGCATTGAGCACAGATGCTCTCTGGGCAGACACTCAGTATCTGTTGAATGAAGAACTCTAAAACATCTTGATGTTTTGAGGTCTTTTGCTCCTTCTGCCTGAGATCTCATGCCCAACCACTAACAGCATGTTTACCTTCAGACAGGCTTGGAATCCTCTTGGCCAGTTTTTTTTTTTGCCACACTTTGCAGACAAAACAGGACATAGCACGTCTACCAGAGAGCCTCAATAAAACGGAACAAGAGAACACACAAACTAGCATAAGAGAATAAAAGCACTTATACTAAGCCAAAACCATGGGTTATCCATGCATCTCAGAATTCTGTCTGGAAAATAGCACCTCAAGATATTTTGTGAAGGGAAAAAAAGATATTTAGACCCTGTTAAGATCAGGAATATACTTTCAAATATGCTTCATTTATCTTTAAACCCCATCATTGGTCAGGCATGGTGGCTCAGCCTGTAATCCCAGCACTTTGGGAGGCCGAGGCGGGCAGATAGCTTGAGGTCAGGAGTTCGAGACCAGCCTGGCCAACATGGCGAAATCCCATTTCTACTAAAAATTCAAAAATTAGCCAGGCCTGGTGGCATGTGCCTATAGTCACAGCTACTTCGGAGGCCAAGGCAGGAGAACTGCTTGAACACAGGAGGCAGAGGTTGCAGTGAGCTGAGATCGTGCCACAGCACTCCAGCCTGGGCAACAGAGCGAGACTCTGTCTCAAAAAAAGAAAGGAAAAGAAAAGAAAAGAAAGAAGGAAGGAAGGAAAGAAAAGGAAGGAAGGAAGGAAAGAAAGGAAGGAAGGAAAAGAAAAGAAAAGAAAAGAAAGACAGACAACAAAAAAACCATTATTGATTTTCCCGTTCAACAGAATTAACACTTGCCAAAATTGTGTAACAGTGCAAATATGCCTTTGGTAATTGCCTGTCAAAATGCCTCACACCAACCACACCTCTCCTTTTTCTAATCCATTCAGCTCTTACATCTTTTCGAGTCTTTTTGTCATAGAAGAAAGTGATATGATAAGCAAATTCACAAATTTTTAATAACTGAAAAAATAATTTAGAAAGTTTCCAGAGCTATATGTATTTTAGAAGACTACCAAAGAGAAAACATTTGAATGCTTTAAAATGGCTCAATCAGTTTGCTAAAAATTATTGTTGAATAGGGTAGGTGCAACAGCTCTAAAATATCGTTTTGTTTTGTTCGAGATGGTGTCTCACTCTGTTGCCCAGGCAGGAGTGCAGTGGTACTGCACCCTCAGCTCACTGCACCCTCTGCCTCCCACCAGGTTCAAATGTTTCTCCTGCCTCAGCTTCCTGAGTAGCTGGGATTACAGGCGCAGGCCACCACACCCGGCTAATTTTTTGTATTTTTAGTAGAGACAGGGTTTCACCATGTTGGCCAGGCTGGTCTTGAACTCCTTACCTCGTGATCCACCTGCCTGAGCCTCCCAAAGCGCTGGGATTACAGGTGTGAGCCACCGTGCCCGGCCAAAATATTGGTTTTCAAACATGTAAAAATCTAGACATATTCTGCATTCAGATTGTTTTCCAAATGTCTAAGTTCTCAGTCAATTTGCATAAATACATTGGGAAATGTACATGATGCATCTTCCCATTTTTCAAGCTACAGGAAGCAGAACTCCAATCAGAGAATCCAGACTCTAAGAAAAAGTCTTGAATCTTCATCAAAAGATTAGCAACGCAATGTACATTGATATATTTTAAGTTTAAAAATGTTTTAAATGTTTTAATTTAAATTTTTGTTTAAAAATGTTTAAAGCAGGTATTTTTAAAATGTTTATTTATATAATTGATGAACTGACCAACTATTAGTCCTGACCATGTCAGATATGAGGGTCTCCACCATCAATCAGATAATTAGGGTTATCAGTAAGTACTAGAAAGAAGGTGTAAAACTTGGTAATGGGCGCAAGTGTGTCAGAATGTGTCTACTTTAGCTGGATATTCTCATTTGGTTTCCCAGCAATCCTATCAAAGAAACAGGGCAAGCTCTCATATGCTTATTTCACATGTAAGGAAAGAGGCTCTGGCTGGTCACATGCTTGCTAACTATCTGGACAAGCAGGACTAGAACTCAAGTTCTCTGACTGTTACTTGAAGAGTGTCCCTAATACATCATGGGACTTGCATGTTATACTGGTTTGAACACTTCTAACTAGATGTGCAAAAACTTTTAAGACTGGAATTGCTTAACAAGTTCAAACTGTCCCAATGGCTTTTACTCATCAAGACTGACCAAATGTCTAGATATTTAGCTCTTTAATGTCAAAGACAGTATCTTTTCTAGATTTTGTGTCTCTACTTCCATTTTTATCTCAGTCTGATAAATATCAAATATATGAAAGTGGACCCATCTCTTTTAGTTCAATATCCAAGTTCACATCAGTTACACTGGAACCCAGATTGGTGAATAAGGAGTAAGCCAAGAAACAGGTCTTTAGAAAAACTGAATGATGCCAGTGAAACTCTTAGAGGCTGGTAAACAAACGTCCATAGGCAAATTTGGCCTGCTGCTTGTTTTTGTAAATAAAGTTTTATGGGAATGCAGGCACATTCATTTGTTTACATATTGTCTATGACTGCTTTTGCACTACAATGGCACAGCTGAGAGCTGAGTAGTTCAACAGAGACCGATGGTCTGCAAAGCCTAAATTACTTATTATCTGGTACAAAGATGAAGTTTGCTGATGCCTGGGGTCTGAATCATTAATTAGCTTTTACTAAGGTCTATAGGCAAACAGCAGGCTGAATTTCTGGCCTATGAAAAATGTTATCAGCATTAAACATTTTATAAGACCAAGCTACCCTTTCAAAAAACAAAATAAAAGCACTCCACTGTTTTCTACTCCTAGGAATTTCTGCAACAGCAACCAGAAAGAGGATAATAATGACTCTTTATATTCCTCTCAGATACACGCTGGTACTACTCATCCATTCACCACTTCCTCCTTCTCATGCCAGGCACATCTCCTACAATCCACTAGGGACAAGAAGCCTTTGAAAATTTAACACTGGGTTACAGGAGATGCAGAGTTATGCAGTCTCACTAGACTCATTCCAAAGTATCCTCCGTGACTATTTGTGCAGAGTGAAACTTGCTTTGATAAATTAAACTTTCCTGGGAGAAAAAGGTTATTTGAACAAATGTGAATTTTTCTTGTAGAGTTTATAATCTGGCAAAGGTTGGGCAAAGTACAAATGATCAGGCACAATACATTTTACAAGAGATAGCTAGAAATTGTTTACACTTCCTTTATAACCCTGCTAAATGAGCTAGCAATCATTTACCAAGTTGTTTGCAAGATAATGAACACTATATTAGATGCTTAGCATATGATGTTTATAATAATCTGTTGCAAAGGTATGTCTGCATTCCTTGAACCTTTATACTCTTTCAAAGCCTAAAACCCTTTGCAACGGTTTGCCAAGTGAATTTTTAAATACTGTCTTTGGAAGGCTAAGAAATGACAACAGAAATGTATTTATCCAGCTGTAAGCTTATATTACACTAATCTTGATTAATCTTGTATTTTATAAAAGGTCTTTTATTAAGGGCTTTACTTTTAAAAAGACAAAAGCAAAGCAAAAAACATATTTGAGGCTGGGCACGGTGGCTCACCCCTGTAATCCCAGCACTTTGGGAGGCCAAGGCGGGCAGATCACGAGGTCAGGAGATAGAGACCATCCTGGCTAACATGGTGAAACCCTGTCTCTACTAAACATACAAAAAAAAATTAGCCAGGTCTGGTGGTGGGCACCTGTAGTCCCAGCTACTCAGGAGGCTAAGGCAGGAGAATGGTGTGAACCTGGGAGGCGGAGCTTGCAGTGAGCCAAGATTGCGCCACTGCACTCCAGTCTGGGCGACAGAGCAAGACTCTGTCTCAAAAAAAAAAAAAAAAAAATATTGATAGCAAATATTTACTATATTTTGCAGAACAAAAAGTCACAGAGCTTTAAAAAATTATGCTTCCTAACAATTATGTTCCACATTCCTTTCCTTAAAATTTCTCTAGTACTTATATCTTCCAACATCTTCTGCTCTGATTGCCTATAGACAGTTTACTACATTATTTTTTTTTTATTATTCCTAAACTGATTAATATATGTCATTCTTCTTTACTACAAGGCACAGCCTTGCCTGCTAGGATCCATGCATATCTTGGATTTACTTTCTTGTCCCTCAAAACCAGGCTTAGCACATGGCATGAAACAGAAATAACCGTTATTTCCTGTCTAGAATCAAAGAGAGAAAGAGAAAGAGAGAAGAATAAACAAACAAAAAGAACCAGACAAATGAATGAAATCAACACTGCTAATGTTACTGGTATATACAACTATTATACCCCCAAAGTACCTTTGGAATGTAATTGGCAAACTGGATCCATACAACTATAATAAGTTGTTGTTTTGTTCTTTAAAATACTTAACATGTAATCTTTTACCTTTAGATTAATCCTTAATCCTGTTAGGTAGATAGCAAACCTCTTAGTATCTTCATTTTACAGTGGCCCAGAAAGCTGTGGAATCTTGTACAAGGTCAAATAACTGATTAACCGAGACTAGCTATCAAGCTTTTATCAAATACCTAATTAATCCCAGACTCCCGACTTCAGCATAGTACATTTTCCACAAGCCCATGAAATGACTAAGTCTAAAGTCATAAATCAAGTGACAAAGAACTCAAAATTATGTCTGAGAATTCTGATTCTGTAAAATCACATGATATGAAAGTCTATCATTGTAAAGACAAGTAGAAGGATAAATTATTGCTTGGATTTAAATTGTAATTCCACCCAATTAAAATGGTTAGGGGATGGGACTTTTCAAGGAAAGACTTAAGAAGACTATGCCTTTTAAAAACATGTGGATGGTGTATAAATTAATCTTCTCACCAAATTCCAAATATCAGAACCAAAGACAATTTCAGAACAATTAGAAGTTATTACTTTTTCTATTTCCCTGTCTTCCTGGTCTAACTCAGGAGTCATTTTCTTCAAGAGGACTTCTTAACTGGCCAGAACTTGGTCACTTCTCTTTCCTTAGCTTTCCTGGCACTTCAACTGCCTTGTCAGTCGATTGGAATAAGATACTTGGTCTTCGTTTCTATGTGGACATCATATTTCTTCAAATAGAAAGGAAGATCTTTTATATTAATACCTCTAGAGCCCTGGTACATTCTGACGACCACGAAAATGCTGTTACAGAACTTCTTTCCTCAGTCCACTTTACAAATAAAAGTGTAAATATTCAGGAAAAATTTAAGGACATTAGAGATAGATTTGTAACCCATTATTAATAGGAGTCTAGGCTGTGTCTACAATGTGGATGGTGGTCCCTTAGATATGGGACCCTTATGCAGTACAGAACCTGAACACCGGCCCACAGAGGCCCTGGACATAAGAATATTACAGATGAAAACCACTAGGAGTTTTTGTTTGTTTGTTTTTGAGACGGAGTCTCATTCTGTTGCCCAGGCTGGAGTGCAGTGGTGCAATCTCGGCTCACTGCCTCCTGGGTTCACGCCATTCTCCTGACTCAGCCTCCCGAGTAGCTGGGACTACAGGCGCCTGCCACCATGCCCAGCTAATTTTTGTATTTTTAGTGGAGACGGGCTTTCACCATGTTAGCTAGGATGTTCTCAATCTCCTGACCTTGTGATCCTCCCACCTCAGCCTCCCAAAGTGTTGGGATTACAGGCGTGAACCACAGTGCCTGGCCACCACTAGGAGTTTTTAAAAAGGGAGATGTTACTTGTTGCCAGGGAAATTCTGGAACACTTTGTGAAAGGTGTCATTGAAGCTAGGTAGTAGTAGGTTTAAACTACCTAGTTTAAACAGACTAAAGGGCACAGGAAGATGGGTGGAAGAGACTTAGGTAGGGGCAAAGATGCAGGGCTTGTGAAGAAACAGTGAGTAGTCTAGTTTAGCTGCCTTATATGGTTGTCTTATAAAGTCTGCTGAAAACCAGGGTGGGATATTAGAGGAGAGAGGGACTTGACCAGAAATGAACACTGCTAATCTGCTGTACTAACAGATGAGTCAATAACTGGAATGGGGAATCCTGGAAATGCAGACAAGAGCCAGATTGGGAAGGATGTTGAATACCATGAGGACTTTATCCTGAGCAATTCCGGGGGTGGGGGTGGGGAGGGGGTTGGCTACCAAAGTAGAGGAGGAAAAGAAGCAGGATGAGAAACATGATCACATTTGAGTTTTAAAAAATCACTTGGATTGCAGCTGCAAGGTGGTTTGGTAAGAAGAGTGAGTAGCAGTGACCAGTTAGGAGTTAACTGCAATAGTCCAGACAGCAGATGAGCGCCCAACCATTAGGGAGAGGCAAAGCGGAGGGATGAGGCAAGATTCATTTTGACAAAAGCCTTGTTAAACCTTGGAGAATGGATGTGGAGGACGCCACATAAGGAGAAATCAAAGATGATTCTTTTGTGTTTTAGCTTGATTAAATAGGAATGCCAATAATTAAAAGGAAGGAATGAGAAGGGGTCCACTTTAGCAGGGTGGCTGGCAACTGAACTCCAGATGTGCCAAGTTTGAAGTCATGTGGCAATATCCCATAAGAAGTTTAACTTGTTGATCTGGAAGGAGTTCAATACAGAGATACGGACCAGAGAGGAGGTGGGAGGGGCAGCTGTGAGAATGGCTAAGAGAAGGGGGCTGAAAGTAATATTCTATTCAACCTTGGCATTACAGGCTGTGACAGAAGAAGATCTGAGGAAAAGAGAAAGAACTATTATTCCCAGAAAAGCTCTCTTAGATTCCAAGGGGAAGAGTTTCAGGAAGGAAGCAATTATCATTGGTGTCAACAGTGTCAAATACCACAGAGGTGTCAGGTAAGATAACTTAGAGTTAGTCACTGCATTGAGAGGTCTGAGAGTAAACTGAAGGGAAAGCAGTCAGAGGGTAGCAGCAGCAGGTGAGGAGGGAACGCACTTTCAGACATGTGAACAGCTTTTACCTTCACCTCGATGGTGAACGGCGGAACACAGGCATTTTCTGCTCTGCCCACTATCACTTCCTCTAAGGGGTCCCATTCGTTGTAAGAAGAGACAGGGCAGTCCTTGGGCAGAGGTTCAGTGGCCTTGTCGTCAGCTGCAAAGGAGTTCCGGGAGGAAGCCGTAGCTGCCTGGGTGCTCTGGAAAGTTCGCTGCACCCATCCCGTCAAGGTTCGTCCAAGCTTCCAAGAATAAAGAAAACATTATTGTATTGCATTGCTCTATCAGTACTTGCAGAGAGAAGGAAGTGGAGATGGGGTAAAAATCCAGCATAACATTGCCACTTAAACCCCTTTAGAAGAGCGTAAACCAAGATGTTAACAATGTGTAGGTGGATAGTGGGATTACAGATAATTTTTTTAACCCTCTTGTTTATCTACAAATTGTCTTATCTATTAATTGCTGTAACTCTTTAAAACTCCTCAGAAGACCGTGTCCCCAGCGACCATACACCCCCATCTTTATCTCAGAATGCAATTCCTGCACTCAAGCTTTAAGCAACTCTTTTGCAGATGGGTCAATCCTCCCCTCAGAAAACCACAGACAGCTGCTCTAAAACTTCCCGCCAGTCCCAGCTGAGGATGGAACCTCCTTTTCCCTCAAGTATCAAAGGTTACCAATATTAGGCTTTTTATTTTATTTTATTTTATCTTTACAAATGAAAAGGTGGAAACATTTGTAAAGGACCGTATCTTTCAGAATAGCCAGCTTCAAATCAAATTTTTTTCATCTTTGACATACACTTCGCATTCTTTGGCACTTCAATTCTAAGAGTGAGCAACTGCCATCTGCTCCATTTTACAGATGGTCCACAGTACCCTAGCCAAGATCAGGATTAGCCCAGGCGTAAATTCAAACAACTAAAAAGGAGATCTAAAAACTTCAAAAGCCTTTAAAAAATGCATGGCCTATAAAATCTAGAGCAGGGAGGGTCCCTCAACCCCTGAGTAAACCTCAACCCCCCAAATCTCTATCCTGCTCTGTTAAAAGCCTTAGGAAGTGGGCAGGAGGGGAACTCGGGTGGAGGCAGAAGCAAGACGGAGAGTGGCAGCTGTTCAGGAACCAGTTGCTGGGGGGAAGCCAGAATGTCGGAGCGATTCCAGTCCTAGGAGCAAGGGTCTGCCGCCAGGGCAGCCGAAGGCGGGGAGCGCAGAAACTCTGCTTACGGGCTGCACTCGCCAGACTCCTCTCCAGACGTGGGACCGCATGTTATACTTGGAGTGAATCTGGTCGCTCGCTCCCCGTCCCTGATTCCCACTTTGCTTGTCTCTTCTCCCCATCCATCCACCCCACACGCATTTTCCAGAAATCTCCCCCAACTCGATGCCCACTTAGGCTACTGAACCCCAATAACGCCACCCTTTTACTAAGAGGAGCCTCCGTCATCCCAGCCCCTTGCTCCGAGCGGGAAGCTTGGTGCAGCGCACCAAGGTCCGGTAGAGGACCGTGGGCCAGCAGGCCGCAGACGCGGAGACAGCAAGTGGACCCCAAGGGGTGGAGCCGCAACGCAAGTTCCCCTCGACCCGGGGACGCCGCCCAGCTCCTGGAGCCTGCAAAGGCTCTTGAAGCTGAGCTTCCCAGGGATACCAGAAGGGACACTCTCGTGCAATTCTGGCTGGGGAAAGCGAGGGAAGGCGGCGGCTCTGTGGAGGGAGCGAGCGGGTGCTCCACGCCACCCTCAAGACCGAGTGAGTCACGCGGCCGCCAGACGAGGCCGGTGGCGCACGCACCCGAGACCCGATGTAGTGCACCGCCTCGGCGCCGCGGCTCCCGCCGCGCAGACACCGCACCCGCAGCATCGCCCCGACCCGGCTGGTCCACGCACGGAATGTTCCTGGCCTGGGCTGCGTCGGTCCAAGCCTCCCCGAGAGCGCGCCCGGAGCGTGATGGGCGGGTGCGCTGGGCCCGCGGCCTTTTGTAGCCGCGCTCCGCCCCGGCCGCCCCCCGCGGCCCCATTGGCTGCCGGGAACAGGTGGTGGGGCCAGCAGAGCGCCCCGAATTAGGAACTGTTGGGAGGCGCCGTGGCCGCTGGCTCGAGCCTCCGACGCTTGCCCTTTTTTAGCCAGCGGGGCCACTGACGGCTTCTGTTGCACGCCCGGACCTGGACCCCGACCCGAGCGCCGCAAGGCGGCCCGCTGGAGTCTCGCGCACCTGGGCAGGACGCGACTTCCGACGACGTGACAATGGTCTATGCATATATTAAGTGAATATTTGAGAATTTAAATATGCAGAGCGTGAGTACAGTGTTAAATACGAGCACGGACCCAGTCACCTCATTTTTCGGTAAACGAAACCACCTAAAAATTAGGTGGTTTCTTAGTGCAACATCGGATGTGAGACTGCAGAAAACTAACTCTGGAAGTTGGGCCATTTGCTCCCCGGGGAGGTAGTGCTTTCCTTCCACTACCCCGTCGGGTGTTATTTGGAACACCTGGCATTTCACATGGTTTTTGGCCATGTGCCCCTGGCTTGAGAAACTCCGATATGAAAATCGACAAGTGTGGGTCACAAATAAGGGAGGACGGCAGTTTCGTTCCTTCCATTTCATGTTTTAAATTTTTTGTTTCAACTTGATTAGGATTGTTTTTTAGAAAAGTATTTTACCTCGCTGTGCAGTCTTAATTGCTGTGGATTTGTGCAAAGCTAGAGAACTCAGGTTAACATTTATCTCCTAGTAGGAAAGGAGGCAAGAGATTTGAGTATTTCATTTTTGTACTTACAGAGTTGTAACTATTCATTTTTGATGAGCTATCTTTTTAATTTTGGTATCTCAAGCTTGTTTTCCAGAGTTCATGGATGGAAAGCAACAGACAAGCAGTTGGCATGGTAGAAAGAGCCTCCGAGAGGGAATCAGGATAACTGAGTTCCAGTCTTGACTCAGTTATAGACTACTGTGTGTCTTCTTGAATTGCAGTCTTCTTATCTGCAAAGTGAGAATAGAATTTACTGTCCCTAGCACATGGGGGGTTGCTGAGGGGCCAAAATGAGAAACTATACATGCAGAACTTGATGCGTGGCATTAGAGCCGTATGAGGCCGGGTGCAGTGGCTCACGCTTGTAATCCCAGCAATTTGGGAGGCCGAGGCGGGCGGAACGCCTGAGGTCAGGAGTTTGAGACTATCCTGGCCAACATGATGAAACCCTGTCTCTACTAAAAATACAAAAACTAGGCCGGGCGTGGTGGCTCATGTTTGTAATCCCAGCACTTTGCGAGGCCGAGGTGGGCAGATCACGAGGTCAGGAGATCGAGACCATCCTGGCTAACATGGTGAAACCCTGTCTCTGCTAAAAATACAAAAAAAAAAAAAAAAAAAAAATTAGCCGGGTGTGGTGGCGGGCGCCTGTAGTCCCAGCTACTTGGGAGGCTGAGTCAGGAGAATGGCGTGAACCTGGGAGGCGGAGCTTGCAGGGAGCCGAGATCGCCCCACTGCACTCCAACCGCCTGGGCGACAGAGCTAGACTCTGTCTCAAAAAAAAAAAAAAAAAAAAAAATTAGCCGAGCATGGTCGTGGGTGCCTGTAATTCCAGCTACTGAGCTGAGATGGAGCCACTACACTCCAGCCTGGGTGACAGAGCAAGACTCCATCTGGGCGGGGGGGAAGTTATATGAGGTAATGTGTTACTACTCTAGCAATAAGGAGGCCCCCAAATGCCATAATATGGTGAAAGGAGTAAGTCTAAGTTCATAACTTAATTCTGCCACTAATTTGCTGTGTGACCTGGAACCAGATCCCTTTATCTTTCCAATCAAGGCTTCATACTTCTAGTGAGGTTTTAAGAAATCTCTAACATTTCTCGAAATTTTAAAAGTACTTTCTCCCAACAATAAAATGCAGCCACCTCTGAGGTCTGATTCTCTTAGTGTACTGAGGGCAGCCAGATATGTGCTTCTCCTCAAAAGAACTGAAGAGTACAGTAAGTACACATAACAAGGCCTTGAGATTACCATTTCTGCTTGAGATTGGAGGACATCCTCTTGCCACCCATTAAAAGCACTATTTTAATTTTGCAGATGTAAGAATTGGGGGTGCCTGGTAATAATGAAGTTACGATGTTGTTAAGTTTTACATAATGAAAAACTCATAGCCAAAGAGTATACCCTTATCTCCTGGGATCCAGCAGAAAGTGTGTGGATAGCGCCACCCAAACCAGTCCTGCTGTTATAAAAGCAAACCAAAGCGCTCACTCCTCCTTTTTGCCATGCCTCTCATTTATTTTCATTCTTTGTCCTTTTTCCCCTTTTATACCACACTTTTTTTCATTTACTACAATTATATTTTTTCATTCTCTTTTATGTTCTGTTTTTGAAAAAAATTCTGTAACAATTTCTAGAATGACCTTATCAATTTAAAGTACAAGCTTTCCATACTAGTTTGTCTAATACTGGGCCAACTCTGCAAAGTATCTATATGGTGATAGTTGGCAACTCTGTGGTCTTTAGTTGCTGTCTTATTCAGAAGAAATGGAATAGACTGTGAAGTCCTGTCTTGCCTTCCCCTATTGGCAGTAGATACCATCAATAACTTTGATTGAACCAATAATTTTAGGATCTTGCTAGTCTCATACCTAGTCATTATGCATATTCAAGTCTAATAGTAGTGCATCTTTGTAGCTTAACTTAAAGGCATAATGTAGGATAGTGTGTGTGTAAAGGGGTCTAAAAGGACAAGGAATAGAAAACACACCAGAAGCATGGCAAAAATTCAGCTTTTCAATTCTCCCTCATCACCGTTGCTTTGGGGATATGCCCAACTCTCCCTAGTTCCAACCAAAAAAGCACAGTTTTTTAAATGTGTCTTGAGATTAAAATAAAACAAAAAAAGCGAGTAAAGTCATTGGATTAACAAAATAAACAACAAAACAGCCCGTTATAAGAATTCACCATTTCTTTATCATGGTTGACTTCAGAATCTGTACATAGGGTGTAAACAAGTACAGAGGAAGGTGCTCCTAGAACTTAAGAATACAGATACTCTGTGAAATTGGTAAGCACACACATATACACACAGATACACTGGATGAGATTAGCTATCTACAGAAGTCACCTATTCTAAAAGACTTTTGTACCTATAGTTTAGGGGAAGGATATCTCTCAAAGTAAGTTAGAAATAATGATGTATTACTCAAGTTCAAACAAGGTGACTAAAGTATATATTCTCATGACGGAATGTAAATAAAGCTGCAATTTTTTTAGAAAATATTATTTGGGCTGCATCAATAAAATATATTTGGAAGGATACACAGATACTGATAACCTAAGTTGTCCCTGGGGAGGGGACCTGACTGGCTGGGAGACAGGAATGAGAGAGATTTTCCACCGTAAGCCTTATTGTACCTTTGAATTTTGAACATGTGAGTAAATTACCTAATAAACAAAAAACATATTTAAAAGACTGCATCTGCAGAGGTGTGATTATCAACATAGAGTTTTAAAAAAGGAAGCCTGAATGGCCAACCTATCAGAGTCTGTTCATCCAGCTCTACCAAAGGATGGAATCAATATTCTGGCCTCTGGAAAGGTTAAACCTATTGAGGACAAGAATAATTCTGTGGGTTTTATGAAATATCCCTCAAAACTATTCACCTCCTCTAACTTGTGAGCTCACTAAGCTCATCCCTGGGAACCTTGGCATGGGGGAGTTACCCTGCAGGCTGAGCACAAGTAAGTGATCTGATAGCTGGAAAGATGAAGATCTCTTTGTAAAATATTAAATCAGTATTCTGCCGGGCGCGGTGGTTCACGCCTGTAATCTCAGCACTCTGGGAAGCTGAGGTGGGTGGATCACCTGAGGTCAGAAGTTTGAGACCAGCCTGGCAAACATGGTGAAACTCCGTCTCTACTAAAAATACAAAAATTAGCCAGGTGTGTTGGTACACACCTGTAATCCCAGCTACTTGGGAAGCTGAGGCAGGAGAATTGCTTGAACCCATTTGAGACCAGCCTGGCAAATATGGCAAAACCCTGTCTCTACTAAAAATACAAAAATTAGCCAGGTGTGTTGGTGCAGAACTGTAATCCCAGCTACTCGGGAGGTTGAGGCAGGAGAATTGCTTGAATCCAGGAGGTGGAGGTTGCAGTGAGCCGAGATCATACCACTGCACTCCAGCCTAGGCAACAGGAGAGAAACTCTGTCTCAAAAATATTAGTAGTAATAATAATAATAATAAATATTCTAGCTTATCCCTCAGAGTCTAGTGAGTTCTAGCTCAGTTCTTGCTTCCTAATTATGTTTCCTTTCTTAATGTTCTCTTTTTTCCGCCTACCTAGTCGATTCTGGGTAAACTGATGGAATTTACTTTCTAAATCTGAAATGCTGTGGGACTGGCCTGATCCCACAATAGCTTGTGTTCCACTAGCCCACAGTACCTATCACACTACCCTAGAATTGCCTGCTTCTATGTCTGTCTCTCACTGGGCTGTTGGCTCCTTAAGGACAGGGAGTCTGTTTTATCCACCAGTATATCCCTAGCACAGTGCCTGACACAGCGAGAGTCCTTAATCAATTGTTCACTGCCACTCTGATGGCCCAGCTAGAATAACCTGAGCTCCCTCTTTGGTACTTTGCAGTCTTTGATTTCAAATGAGTTACAAAATGTTGTGAAGACAGCCTCTGCACTGTCCCTTACAAATCATTTTAGGATTTTTACTAGTTTTGAACAGCTGTGTTATTACTGCTCAGCATCTCCCAATGAGGTAGATTCTTTCATTGGAAGACAACTGCAAAACACTAGCTGCAGCTAAATTAAACGCCAGCTTTCTCCAAGTATTTAAAATAATCTCAGCTTAGGTTAGTACTGAAACTGACAGAGCTTTAAGAAAACTGAGGAAGAAACATCTGAAGTCTGCTCCAAGGAATCTTCTTTCTTTTACTTCAGTCTTCAAATACCCTTCTGGAATTTAAAAACAGTAAACACCATTCTCTTTCTTAAGGTTCTGATTAAACTTACAAGCAAAGGCCAACCCATTTGCCAAATTGCTTCATTTTTTTTTTTTTTTTTTTACTTAATGTAGCCTCACTCTGTTGCCCAGGCTGGAGTGCAGTGGCATGGCATGATCTCAGCTCCCTGCAAGCTCCGCCTCCCGGGTTAAAGCAATTTCCGACTAATTTTTGTATTTTTAGTAGAGATGGGGTTTCACCATATTGGCCAGGCTGGTCTCAAACTCCTGACCTCATGATCTGCCCGCCTCAGCCTCCCAAAGTGCTGGGATTACAGGCGTGAGCCACCATGCCTGGCCGGCTTCAATTAATTTTAAAATCATTTCTACTCTGATAATAATAACTACTATTTACTGAGCACTTACTATGTGCCAGATAAAAGCTTCACATGTTATTTCATTTAGTCATCTATGAGGTATTCTTACAATATTCTTGTTTCAAAGGTGAAGAAACAGAGCCCTACAGGATTAAACAAATTGCCCTAAGTGAAACAGTGGCCAAGTGGCTAATAGAGCCAAAATTCAAATCCAGGCCTCTAAGACTCAAAAGCCTGAGCCTTTAACTTCTAGGACACTTGATTTTCTCAGAGATTCTCAGGGGAATAGCTACTGCATGATGCAGGGTGCATAAATGTAGTCTAGCTACTTCCAGTGTTCAACACTGTCCTGTAAGCTGCATATTATGTCGCATGCTGCCATCTTGATATTTCAAGATATCTCTGAGTGTTTTTTCTGGGAGTTATTTATTGGATAACTGTCCTTCTTAGGATAATGCTATACCATAAAGACTGCATGGTAATGAGTCTTTGACAAACTGAACTTATGCGGGTCAGCTAGAGCTGAATGCTAAAGAGACAGAAAGTCTAGAACTAGTATAAGTCCTCTAAACAAGCTCAGGTATAGCTTAGATCTCTATTGGGAACTCTACAGAGGCATGAGAAGGTATTTTAGCATAGGCGTAGCTGTTGCTCCCTGCACTGTAGTCAAAGAAGGGAGAGCAGGAAGGGGAAAGTGCCTTAGAATGGTCTGTCCCATTGGGATGGTTCTGGAAATACAATGTATGTTCAT